GAAGGGATTGTGGCATGGCCAGCCCTCTGGGGGGTGATTTCTCGCTTTCTGTCTCTCTGTCTCTCTGTCTGGTGAGCGCACGCACCCTATAGCAAAAACCTCTTCAAAAAAAAGAAAGAAAGAAAGAAAGGGCTTGCTGAGACACAGAGCAGCTTCACTGGGACGCCTGTTGATGCTACACCACCAGAAGCTTTTCTGGGGAGTCTGAACAGAAACAAACGTAGTTAAAACTGTGTACACATGGCTCTCTGAGCTGCCAAAATAGACAGTGATTTTTCGCTTTGAAGTAACTACCAGTTCTGAGAAGTCTTTCCATCTCCATAGGCCCACGCTGCAGCTAGATTCTGCCCAGCGTCGGGAGCTGGCCCACTGCAGTCTCTGGGAGGTGGCATCAAGGCCCCGGACCTGGTTCCTCCCGCAGTGCACACATCACGGGGCGGTCCTGACGGAGGAGGGCGGCGGCTGAGAGGCCCTGGGGGTGGGAACCCTTAAAGGGAGTCTCAAAAGCACAGTGGATACCTGTGCAAGGCCAGAAACGCAACCCCGAAAGCAGGGAGCCGAGGGGGTCAAAGCCTGGGGTACCCAGTATCTGCTGTCCTTTAAACTGCGGGTGTTCTGGACTTCAGGGGTCAAAAACAAGGCAGAGGTCAATGAAGGGCAGCTGGGCGGGAAGCGGGGCCTGGCCGTGAATCCTCATGTTCTGTAAGAGATTTGCCTTTTCATTCATTGATTCAACAGAGGCGTGGACTGACACCTACTCCATGTGAGGCCTTGGGGAGACAGACACGTGTTTCTGTTCACGTGGACTTTCCAGCATAGACGGCGCAGACGAACGTGAAACCAATCGTGCGAGTCAGTATTTCATTTTACTCGTGGTGAGCTCTGCGCGGTGTCCAACGCTGTGCAATGAGAGTGTGAAATAGGGAGGACTGACTTGGTTGGACCTAAGAAAGTTTCCCTGGGGACAACAGCCGAGACCTCAGTAGGAGTTAGCTGGCTAAAGAGGGGTTGTTAGGGTGGGGTGGGAGAGAGCATTTGGGGCAGATGAGACCTGAGCAACGGCCTGGAGACACAGTTAACGGGGAGGTTTAGAGAAGCAGAGAACCTGCAGTCTCCAGATGGCCTCTCCCGGGAAGCTGCAGGCGCAGACGCGTGTTCACAAACCAGCCTGATGGCGGCGTAGGGGATGGCTAAGGCCCGTGGCATGGGAGCGGTGATGGCTCAGTGTGTGTCGACTCGACTGGGCTAAGGGGTGCCCAGATAGCTGGTGAAGCGTTGCTTCTGGGTGTGCTGTGGGGCTCTCAGAAGAGACTGGCACTGGGATGGCTGACCAGTGACAATGACGCTCATGGACACGGGCGAGCGTCACCCACTCAGAGGACTGGACGGGACCCGAAAGAAGAGGACGCTCTCTCTTCTCCATCTGGGACATCACTTTCTCCTGCCCTTGACCACCGCCGCTCTTGGCTCTTGGACCTTCAGACTCAGACTGACTTACGCCATCAGCCCCCGGGTCCTCAGGCCTTGGGGCTGAGTGGGAACCCCACCGGCAGCTCTCTGGGCCCCCTATCTTGCAGACGGCAGACTGCATAGCTGCTCATCCTCTGTAATGTGGCGCCACCTCCTCATCACAAACCCCCTGGGCACCCAGACGTGCCCACCTGCTTGTTCCTCGGGGAAGCCTGGCTAGCACGAGACGCCCAGAGACGGCCGTTAGAGCTGGCTGGAGTGCCAAGGGGTCAGCTAACGCCACGGCAGTGTAGACGAAGAGAACGGGAGATGTTGACGGATCTTTGGGGTTAGAACCAGCTGTCCTTCATGACTGACAGATAAACTAGATATGAGGAGAGAGAAGCGATATCAGAAGAACGACTCCCAGGACCAGCAGATGGTGACATGGTTACCGTCACTGGACTCCCACATAGTTGACCATGGCTGGAGTCCCGAACTGGTGGCTTAAACTCGTGTGCATGCGTGCCCAAAATCCCAAGAGGAGAATAGAGGAGTAGGGATTGCCATGTGGCCATGCCATCCCCCCGCCCCAGGGAATGATTTCTCTCTTTCTGTCTCTGTCTCTCTGGCGAGTGCATGCACCCTATAGTACAAATATCTAAAAAAAAGGAAAGAAAGAAAGAAAGAAAGAAAGAAAGAAAGAAAGAAAGAAAGAAAGAAAGAAAGAAAGAAAGAAAGAAAGAAAGAAAGGTTCCTAGGTTTCTAGATGGGGCAACTGGGTGAGGAAGATAAGAACACAGAGGGTCGGGCTGCAGGTGTGGGCAGGATTTGGGGAGCTAGCTGGCTTTACTTTGGGTACGTGCCACAGGCAACTGGGTGTGAGCACCAGGTTCCAGGAAGGCTCTAAGGCTGAGATGGGAATGGCAGTATCGGTGATGAGGTGGTGGGAGAAGCCATCACGCCGAACGGTTCAGGCAGGTGAAGTGAAAGGAGGGAGGAGACGAGAGGTCAGAACGAGGTCCGGGGAAACAGGCATATTTCAGAGGTGAGCACAGGAAGGGAGTCCAGGGAAGAACGGCCAGAGAGGCGCAAGAACCGAGGGCAAGTGTGCGAACCTCTCCCCTCGCCCGCCCAGTCGTCCTCCTCTGCCCTGCTCGGCGGCCCGGGGCCAGCTGCTGTACGCTGCATCACCGGGCTCTGCTGTCCTCTGGCTTCAGAGGTGAGCCCCGGGGAGGAGACTGGATGATGAGAGGAGAGAGGCTGGGGTGACTGTCCCCACCCCTCCACCCAGCTTCCTCCTGCTGGTCGGGACTGTTAGCCGTGGCCCACCAAGGACGCAGGGCTATCTCACAGCCCGGCTCCCGGCTCTCTTCAGGCCTGAGGGTGGCCTGGGCCTCCCTGCGCTAGCCCTCTGGTCCTTCACCTCCGTTGGGGCACTCCTGGACCTCTGCCTCACGCTTTGCAGGCCGTTTCTTCACTAAGCTCTGAGTCTTTCCTGTTCCTTCCCACCTATGTCTGTCTGGAACCCTCCCTTTACAGGGTTGTAGCACAGCAGCCCCAGAAGTTTCAGGGTGGGAGTGGTCAGCAGTGTCCACCGCTGCAGAGGGTCTCCTCGGAGACCGAAGTGCTCCCTGCGTGTGGCAGTTGAGGGCTGCTAGTGACCTATCCTGGCGCAGGGGAAATGCATGACAGGCCTGACCCTGCCCTGCAGTCACTGGGGAGTCGCGGACCGTGGCTTTGAGGAGCCTAGCTCAGGGAGAGATGAGAAGGCAATGTTTTGAGAGAGGTGCTGGGTGGCATGTTCTTTAATTTTAGCGTTGCAGGGACTTGAGCATGCGCACAGCCCATGAGAAGGGTCCATTATCCAGGCAGAACCTTGGGTGTGGGCAACACGAATAATAAAGCCACACTCAGGTCACAGCAAGAGCAGACGGGAGGGGTCGCCTGCGTGAAGACTGCGGATTTCTTCCTAGACTGGAGGAAGGGAGTGACCGTGTGAATGTTTACAGAGAGTGGCCAGCAGGTGGTGTGGTTAAGGCGCTGGACTCCCACATGGCTGACTGTGGTTCAAGACCCAGACCTGGTGGCTTGCTCTCTCTCATGTTCTGTCTCTCTGCCTTTCTCTGGTGAGCACACATGCCCTATAGCAAATTCAATTAATAATAATAATAATAAATTAATTAAATGATTCTTTAAAAAGAATGTTTATAGGTATGGGGTAGGGAGTGAGGGAGCTTCTTCCTGAGTGCCTCAATTTTCTCAGTGAAAGGTCAAAATAGCCACTACTCAGAAGCCCATTAAGGCCACAAGAGTTTGCTGAAATCAATGAGTGCAGGATTAACATAAATGATACAAACCAGAATTTAGCATGTGCAGTAACGTGATGATGTTCTGAGGTGGAGTTAGAAAGTAGGGACTTCGGTCTTTACACAAATGTGGGAGCCATCACAGCTTTCTGAACAGTGGCGTGATGAACTGCGGAAGAGATCATTTGGGCATGAGCGGGGCAAGGAGAAGTACCCAAGGTCCTAATGATCTAGGAGAGAAGCAGAGGGCGTGCCTTATTTGGGGGTTGGGGGTGGAGATACAGCAGGTGTCTGGTGGGACCTCAGGGCCCTTCCCCAGAACTCCACCACCAACGGGGCCCTTGGTGTATTTTCCTTGCAAAAATGCATCGTGACTTTTCCAGCGACCCAATAATGTGTTAGACTCTCTAAACAAATGTACGTGCTGAGTGAAACAAGGCGCTCCCTGCAAACACTGCTTTAACCTGACTCGCCCAGCCCCCATCTGGCTGCCACGTCCGACCGTCTCCCCGCACAGACATTCACGTCGACTGCATGGAGTGAGGAGGCGACTCATGTAGGAAATGAAGAGAAGGAGGCAGAGGTAAGCTGAGTACTTTAACTGGGTTTGCTGAGTGGATATTGTGACAGCGTTGACCTGGAAAGGGAATGTGAGAGATCGAGTCCGTGAAAGAGAAAGATCTTCAGGTGCCATGCGCGTTTGGGCAGTGGAGGTTGAGAATGTGAGTCGGTTAGGAAGGGAGGCCTGACGTGTTCATGGGATCAGCACCCTCTTCTAGAGTGGGCTGCTGAGGCAGTGGGGTCCCAGGGGCATGGCAGAGGGGCCCTTTGGCAGACCGGAAGGACAATTATGTTAAGTGAAACGAGCCCGCAAAATAAACATTGCTAGAAGAGAGGACTTGGAAAGTTCCCAGCACAAAGAAATGATAAGTGTTCGAGGTGACGGATACGCGGATTACCCTGGCTTGATTACTACACGTTGTGTACCTGTGTCGAGTCACGCTATGCGCTGTAAGTAGAGACGGCAAATATAAAAAAGACACCAGATAGACCCTGAGGAGTGCCGTCTGTGGGGCTGGCAGGTGGCATGGAGGGTAAGCTCTGGACTTTGTGGTTTGAGTCCCGGATCCAGAAGCCAGAAAGCACCCTCAGCACATGAGTGCATGCCCCAAATCCTCGGAGAATGAAGACGGGGTTGCCGCGTGACCATCCTCCCTGGGGGTGCTTTCTCACTTCCCTCTCTCTCTGTCTCTCTCTGGTGAGCGCGTGTGCCAAGGAGGAAAAAATATATAGAATTTCTCTGAATTCTTCTAATTTTGCAGTTTCATAATCAGCTTCCAAAAAGTGCCAGTGTTTGCAAATAATTGGTTAAAACTCTACCTAGCGTTCGTATCGAAGTGTGTCAGTATGTACTGAACACGTCACTCGAAGCCCCTCTGGTTGCCAAGCTGCCTGTCCCTGTGTTAGGGCAGACCTGCTCCTCGGTCAGCTCCCTCGGGTTGCTCCGGGTCGGCCCCCAAGAGCAGGTTAGAACCATGTCCTCCTCACCGCGACGGACTGTCCTCCGAGTACCGCTCCACTCTCAGGCTCGGCAATGCGCTCGCGTTCTTAGTGCTCTGGCCGCGTCTGGAAACTCTCGGAACAAGGGCCCATGGATCTCAGAACCAGCTCAGAACACCCTCCCTGTCCTCCGTGACGCCGCCGCGTGGCTCTGACCACCACTGCGCTGACTGCATGTGGCGGGCACCCTTCCTGGCATCGCTGTCCTCGGGTGGACAGACGAGCCCCTCATCCGCTTCGTTGTCCATCTGTTGGAGTTCGTGGCGTCCCCTGAAGAAGCCCAAGGCCAAGGACTTACACTTTCCGTGTGGTTGCCTTGCAAGGACTGTCCCCTTGAGCTGCGTCTGTCCCCTGAAGGAGAGGTTCCTATTCAGACACACCCACGTCTCTTCCCTGGCTGGCACTCCCGTCGGGGTCTGAGGGTTCCACATCGGCATGACATGGAGGTGTCCGTGCGGAAATGTCCTCACTAAACCATTCCAAGTCTCTAAGCGAGCAGTGCCATGGTGGGGTCTCGGGCTGGGCTGTGTCATCCTCATAGGTGGCCGTGCCTGGGATCTGGTCACCTACCAGACTAGTTCTCGCTGACCCGGGCAGGGCCTCCGGCTCCTCAGGTGTCCAGGTGTCGGGGACATTCTGCACCTGAGTCTCACACAAAGCAGAGTCCGGACCCGAAATGAGATCTTCTGGCTTCTCCCCTTTCTGCAGAATCTTCTGGAAGGTGATGCTGCCCTCAGGACTTCTGAAAGGTACAGCTCTGTTCTGGCTTCCCCCTGAGGTGGCATCCTCTTGGGGTTCCTCTCCTTCAGTCCCCAACCCTGTCCCGGCATCCTCTGAGTTGGAGGAGCTCAGAGTAAACAAAGAGCCTTCATCGGAATCCGAATCTGAATCCGAATGGTGGCGGGACACCCGCACACACTGAAAGTCAGAAAGTGTCCCTGGGCCCTCGTCAGCAGAAGTGGCGTTTGGGTTGCCGCTGGGCCCTGGGTCGGTACCTCCAGGTACCTCACTGCCATGGGCAGGGCACAGGGCCTCAGCGCCCGTCCCCAGGGTCCCCTGCATGCTGGGCAGACCCTCCACGGTGCGTCCTTGCATTTCCCGGGTGACCTGCACCTGCGGGCCTGCAGGTGCCCAAGGTAACCATCCCGTGGCCCTCGTGTCCTTGTTCTCTGCAGTCCCCTGCGTGTTTGCGTAGGTTTGCTTTTCAGAGAGAGGAGCTGGCGTTTCCCCTGAGAGGGGCGCGTCCAACTCACTCCAGCCAGGGCCCCTGTGTGAGGGGCCTGCTGGACGCTCACTGATAGGACCCTCCCCGTCCACAGCGTCCCGGTTCAGTCCTCTGAGGACAACCTGGCTGTAGGTGTGGTCATCATTGTCATCACTCAGGGGGCTTGCTGCGCTGTCCTTTGGAAGCGTGGCATCGACTCCGCTTGTGGCCCTCGTGGGGTTCCCGTGTTGTCCCAGGCTCTGCTGACTGCTGCCCAGAGTTCCCTCAGGGGTGACAGCGGCCTGTGGCCATGGCTCTGTCACTGAGAAGGAGTCCTGGCTCTCATAGAGGTGGGGGTCGTGGAAGACTCGGGGCTGATCTGACCTTGGGGGCTGCCTGTTCCCCGCAACTTCCACGTCATCGTAGAAGCCCTCGTTAAAGTGCCCGGCCCCAGCGTGGGGGCTGTGGTCCTGGCATCCTTGTCCCCACAGTCTGTCAATATAAGGCCTGCAAAAGGCCCCCAGGCAGAACGCCGCGAGGAACGTGACAAACACCGACAGGCACACCGCCAGCGCCAGGCTGTCCCGGCCAGCACTGTCCCTCCTGCCCGCAGCACCCACGTCCTGGGCCTGTCGAACCGCCCTCCCCCGCCACGTCTGCCTCTCCCCGGGACCCGAGTCTGCGACGACCGTGGTCCTCAGAGTGGCCACGTGCCTGCGCGGTCCCTCCTGGGGCCTCCCTGCTTGGCGGCTTCTGCTGTCTGTCAGGTGGTTCCGATGAATCTGAGGGCGGTGGGGCTCCCTGGAAGTTCTGCTTCCCGGAGCCGCCCAGGACACCTCCTCATTCTCTGCAAGTGGGAGATAAAAAATCAAACAAAACATTCATTGGGTCGAGTCCTGGACCTAGCAGCTGGAGGAACACTCCCCAAACCCCAGGAGAGACTGAAGGGGCAGCAGCGTGGCCACTCCTCCTGGGGGTGAGGTATCGCTCCCATTCCCTTTCTCTCTGACTCTTTGGCTCGTGCACGCCCTCTAAGGAAAACTGAAATAAAGACGTTAAAAACTTAAAAAGCCACACATTGAGAGGATGTTGGAATGATTTCCGGGCTTCTGCAGCGGCGCGAGTCCTCCTGAGCCCTGACGGAGCTCTGCTTTGGAGCGTCAGCTGCGGGAGGGGTGCGGTTTGATTCACTCACTCACCGGTTCTCGTCTAATCCGACGGTCGGCCCGCGGCCCTGTGCACGCTCCCACACGCTGCCTGTCGTAGTCAGCTGCCCACGGCCCCCGAGCCTTGTGTGACTTAGGCCTTCTCCCAGCAGCTGCCCACGGTAAGAAAAGCCAGGCCGGGGGAGGGCCCCGTGTCTCCCTTCATACCCTTGCTACACCAGTTTGCAGGACGCTGCAGCAGGCCCTGAAGGCCCGGCCTCAGCCTAGCCAGGAGTACACGGGTCCCTGGGGCTGGTGAGTGGCCAAGAGCCTACATGCTCCTGCTGGTTCCCGACCTCTGCTCTCCGTATTCAGAGCGCCCACCAGATGAGACGGTGTTGCCGGCAACGGGAAGACCTCAGTCTGCTCTCCGTGGATTTCTTCCAAACCTGCTGAGCACGACCAGTCTGCTTTACCGGCCGTCCTGAAGAGGTCAGAGTCTAGGACTTGTTTTTTAAAAATATGACTTTTGGGGCCAGCAGATGGCGAAGTGGTTAAGTGCTGGACTCCCACATGGCCAGCTGTGGTCTGAGTCCTGGACCCAGCAGCTTGAAACTCATGCTGGGCGCATGTGTGTGCTTGCCCAAAATCCAGAGAGGAGACTGGGACAGAAGGGAGTGTGGTGTGGCCACCCCACAGCAGGGTGATTTCTCACTTTCTGTCTCTGTCTCTCTGGCGAGTGCATGTGCCCTATAGCAAAACTCTTTTTACAAAAAAAAGGCTTTTGATTTTTTTCCCTACTTAAGAGTTTGAGATTTAGCTAAGATAGTTAATATTGAAAAATCCCTCCCAGCCCAGACAAGGTGGTGCATGCTGCTAAGACATGATGCCACAGTCTGGGGTCATAGAGGAGGCCCTGGTTTGATTCCTGGTCCAATCTAAAGGGCAGGAGCAGTGGTGTATGCCTGAAACCTGGTGACCCAGGGAGGCTCAGGCAGGAGGACCAAGAGTTCGAGGCTGGCCTGGGCAACATGATGAGACTTGCCCAGAAAAACCAGGTGTGGTGCATGCACCTGCAGTCCCAACTGGAAGGCTGAGGCAGGAGGGGTGCAAGGTGGTAAGACTCTGTCTGAAAAAGCAAAATGAAACAAAAGACCCGCCCAGGATGCTCAGCTACAGCGATGTCTTCCAGGACTGCAGCGGAGGGGCCAGGAATACATAAAGGGAGGTGTACTTCTAAATATGTGTGTTTGATTTGTGGACGTATGTAATCACACTTCCAGTGTTAGCAAGCACTTAACCTTGTTTTTCACATCTGAAAGCTTCTTTCTTTGCTTATTATTATTATTATTATTTTTGAGAGGTGTTTGCTATAGGGTGCGTGCGCTCGCCAGAGAGAGAGAGACAGAGAGACAGAAAGCGAGAAATCACCCCCCAGAGGGGATGGTCACACCACAATCCCTTCTCCTCTCGGGATCTTGGGCATGCACGCACACGTTCTCGGCGTGAGTTTTAAGCCACTGGGTCCGGGACGCGAACCGCTGTCGACTACGAGGCAGTCCAGCGAAATAGCCATTACGCTAACTGCTGGTCCCTCTTTGCTTACTTGTTAAGAATTGGGATAAAATTGTGCCATTGTGAGAATTTAGAGCAACATTTAAAAAAAAATTGCTGTCTTTGACCAAATCCAGTTGATTGTGAGAGATTCACATTAGGCTTCTTTGGCCACATACAGAAATCCGTTCATACACTGAGGAGAACGGTTGGCACCATTGGCACCAATGGTTATTCTCTGACACAGCCCAAAGCAGGCTAGTGCCAGGGACCGGCCCTCATTTTCAGAGGGACCGTCACTGTTTCAAACGAGACTGAATTTCAGTGTGCATGTTCCAGTTCAAACAGAGCCATTACAGAGAGGAGAGGCACTACTTACCAACCAGCGTGTTACAAAGTACACTCCACTTCCTCCTCCAGGATCCAGAAGTAAAACTTTGGAAGATTGCCGTCCAGTTGTCACACTGCCATGGGTTATCAGCCAAGTTCACCTCCAGATGGGGATGTTCCAGAGCGAGGGTCACCATGGGTAGGATGGTGGTCAGAGCATTGCCGCTGAGGTCAACCACCTGCTTGGGGAGAAACGCGTTTAGGACAGTTCATGCACGATGACTTTTAGAGACAAACGCTACAGAAAGTCTTCACCTGGCAGCAGTGTGAATTTAGCACCGATTGAGAGCCAGAGAATCTAGGTTTTAGATCTCTGCTCTGTCCCTGTAGAGTCTGTGAGTTTTGACGAATTGTCTCCTGCCTCTGGGCCTCCCTCCCGGCGCTGTGGTAAGGATTAGATGTTCGCGAAAGCTTTAAGTATGGGGGCCTGTATTAGAGGCCTAATCCTTTCCCCTTCCTTTTTCCCCATGAGTTGTAACGTCTAATGTGTCTGTTACATGTTTTTGCAAAGAAAAATGTGTCATGACTTTCCCACTGGCCCAATAAAACCTAGACTCCCCTGTCAGTGAGGTCTAGTGTTGGATCTAGAAGTTTTAGAACCACTGCAATCTTGAACGTGGTAGAAGTTAGTGGATGATGAGGACGAACAACACGGAAGAATTGGGGTTGACCAGAAGTATGAACGAGCCATCTCTCATATCCATCACTAGTTCAAGAGCAGTAGTGTGCTTCTCTGTGTCCGCGCTATTTAGTACTATTTAGTACACCCACGATGGCTGATATTTCTAGTGTAATCAGAAACGGAGGGAAACCAGGCCAAAAAAAAAAAAAAAGGTTCTGTGGCTTAGGAACACAGCAATGTTTGTTAAAGTTGGGCACAACAGTGCTATGACAGGCAGGACAGATGCCGTTAGGGGTAGCTCCAGCTGCCACTGTGGGGCGCTCCTGCTGCTCTGGTACCTGACTCCCGCTTTCCCAGCAACGCTGTCATCACCCACCCCGTTGCTTTTAAGTTTTGGTACAGGGCACATGTGCTCATTATAGAGAGAGAGAGGAAGAGGAAAAATATGAGAGATCACACACACACACACACACACACACACACACGGGCAGGAGAGGGTGGCGGGGAATGGCCACTCCAGAACCCTGTCTCCATTCTCCTCTCAGGACTGGGCACGCATGCACACACGTCCAGTTTGATTTCCAAGCCACTGGGTCTGGGACTCGAACTGGCAGTTGACCATGTGGAATCCAGCTGCCTTAACCTCCACATCACCTGCTTGCCCTCATTCTCCCTAATTTTTACAGAGGAAAAGACCGAGCTAGGCCACATGGTATATCCCACAGGGATCCTGGCACAGGGCCTGGTCCACAGCGTTGCTCAGTAAATAATAGAAAGGAATGAATGAATGGAAGGCGAGGTCTAGATCTGATCTGCTTCCTCCACAGAACACACCCGCCTGAGCCTGAGCCTCACTGCACCTGAAGAAGGGCCGGGTAGGGCGGCCTGGAGCATGCCACACCAGGTGAGGTCTTAGGGTTTGGGGAGAAGAGAACATCCAAAAAAGAAAGTGCAACCCTTGCCAAAGAAAAATCAAAAATAAAACAACTGAATGAAAACCTAAAAGGGCGAATGTGTTTTACACATCAGGGGGAAATCTCAGGTTATATCATTTTTTTTTCCTTTTTCAATGAAACATTTTATTAAATCTCTAAGATACAAATTTAAATGCTCTTTAGAAGTTAAAATGATACAGTTCTATGAATAATGATTACTTATTTTTAAAAGAAGTACCGCATTAAACTTCACCCTTATTTAAAACATAGGTTTAGGTGTTCGAAAATAGTGAAGGAAAACGAATCTTCTAAACTGTACAAGAAATGATGCTTTTTGATCAGTTTGCAAGTAATAAAATGAAAGAACTTGATACCTGCAGAACAGCTGTAGTGAAATGGTGTTTGTGTAAAATATACTCTTGTGACATGGATCCTCACATATTATTATTTTTAATTATTAATTTAATTTTGTTTATTCATTCATTTTTTTTTTCTTAATTTGACCAAAGTGAGACAGAGAGAGAGAGAGAGAGAAAGTGAGAAAACAAGCCACCAGGTCTGGGACTTGAACCATGGCTGGCCATGTGAGAGTGTCCAGTGCCTTAGCCACCACGCCACCTGCTGGTCCCCACACATTACTTTTTAATACAGACTTTTGCTGCAACATCATTTCTGGATTTTCAAAATCTAGCCAACATGGATACCTCTGCTACTTAGTTTTGGCCTTCATAGCTGCTTCCTCTCTCAGACAAGCATTCTTTTCCAAGTTCAAGCTTGTTAAAGACTTATTTCTTCCAGCCACCTTCTTACCCTTAATAATCATGAAAATGCGACTTGCCACCGTTAGGGCAGTCATTACATGGGTGACCTTCACCTGGAGTTTGTTCTTGGCAGCATCAAGCATCTCAATGTGAGAGTCTCTGGGATTTCATCTTCCTTATTATTATTATTATTATTTTTTTGGAGAGGTTTTCGCTACAGGGCGCGTGCGCTCGCCAGACAGGCAGAGACAGAGAGACAGAAAGTGAGAAATCACCCCCCAGGGGGGATGGCCACGCCGCAATCCCTTCTCCTCCATTCTCCTCTCGGGATCTTGGGCACGCACGCACACGCGCCCAGCGTGAGTTCTAAGCCACCGGGTCCGGAACGCGAACCGTGGTTGACTACGTGGGAGTCCAGTGACATAGCCATTACGCTAACTGCTGTTTCCCTCATCTTCCTTTTGGAAACGACCTGACCAAATTGAAATCTTCGCCCAATCTGTAGGTTTGTGTGGTGGAACTCTGTGGCTGTAAGTGTGGGAGGGCGCTTTTGAGTTTTCCTGTGGTTTAGTGCAAAGTCCACTCCCTGTCTTCAAGTTCGAGTTTCTGGTAAGCCTTAGAGATAAGGAAGCATCTCTTGCACATAGCCTAAAACAACTCCCGGTGCCAGGTGCTCGCTGCTGGGGCTCCCCGAGGCCGCCTACCACGCTGCCCAACACGACACCTCGACAGAAGGGCGGTAGCGCTGGTGCCCTCAGTGTCACCGAGAACCCTAGTGTGAAGGACACAGCCAGGGCCGGAGGGCAGAGCAGGTAGCAGATTAAACACATTTCTAAGAAGAGCCGATTCCAGTGACCAAGCAAACAGTGCCACAGACAAGACCTGCAGGCAGAATAGAGCATTTTGTGAACTGAGGTAATGAGGTGACGTTTCCAGTGTTGAGTAGTTTGGCAGCCTGGGCTCTCAAAAAAGGGCCAAAAATGGAAGCAGAAGACCGAGGTTGGGAAGCAAAACCCCCTTGCTTTGGCCTTGCCTTGCCCAGGGTTAGTAGCTTTCTTCTGTAGCTCTCTGCAACCGCAGTGAAGTCGTCTGAGGTTGGCCGGCCGTTGTTTTCTTTTTAAGGTCTGAGGGTATTTTCTCACCGCAGCTTTTTATCATATTACAAATCATGGGACTGAAAGCAAAACTGGAGGGAGGACAGTGAATTAATAAACTGATTCAGGGAAATGCATCCTGAGAAAAGATTAAAACAGAGCAGTTCAATTTGGCTAAAGAATCACCCCCACGCCAGCATTCAAGGGGGGTGTGCGACAGAAAGATCAAGAGACGCATGTGGCACTGCTTCACAAGTCACGCAGCTCAGAGGGAGGGCGAAGGTTAGGGAAAATGCTAATTGAAGCGTCAATGAAACGTCTTTCATTCCACCTAACATGCGATGAATTCATGCTTTGAAAATGCTGTCTGGCTTCTGAGAAGATCCTGTATGGGAAAACACAGAACCGTGCAAGAATCCCTTTCGTCTCCCGGAAGGAGAGCAGCGTCCATCTTGAGATTCTCTTTTTGGTGCCAAATATGTTCCTCATGTTCCAAAACCAGCCTTCAGAGCTATTGCCAGATATGTTAAAGGATAATAGAGAAGGAGAAATTGTGCGATTCTGGGCATTTCCAGTGAATTGAGAAGTACAGCTGTTTTAAAATATTCTCTAATTTGATTTTTAGTTTGTCTGTGGTGTCTATTACTGGTGAGCTGCAGAAACACTCATAAAGCACAATAAAAGCGCATAGGAAATAAAACAGAGAGCAAATTACATATATAAATACGTATGCAATTTATGCCGACAGTAGACAATAGAGTAAATGAGATTACAGGCAACTTGACACCCTATCTGCAGTAAATGGGGAAGTCCTGCCAAATCCTGCAGACATTCCACCTGCTATAATGTCACTGTGATGGCAGACAGACTCCGTGAGGTCTCCAGTGGTCCTGCCTCCAGGTGCCCATGCCTCTGAGCGATCGCCTGCACTCGCCGTGCACAGGACCAGTGGTCTGTTTCTAGCTCGTAGACAACAGCGAAGGCAAGGAGATAGCACGGCAATTAATCACTGAGCTGAAGGCTTCTTATTGGAGGGCCTCTCCTTGGCTGGCTCTGAAGCAAGCTGCCATGTTGCGAGCTTCTTGGTGGAGAGGCCCACATGGCACAAAACTGAGGGCAGGCTTAGACCAACCTCCTATAAGGAACTGAGCCCTCAGTTCAGTGGCCCAACAAGGAAACGAATCGTGCCAAGAATCACTGAGCTGTGAAGTTAATCCTTTTCCACCTGAGCTTTCAGGTGAGGCCCCAGTCTTGGTGAACACTTACATTACAGTCTTTTAAGAGACCCTGAAGTAGAGGTGCTAGGCCATGCCTGAATTCCTGACCCACAGAAACTGTAAGATAACATGTGTGTGTGGCCTTAAGCTGCTGAGTGTATAGTAATTTGTTACGCAGCAGTAGCTAACGAATACACCTAGCCATGATCACTGTCCATTCCTCCATAAAATTTCTATATGGGGCCAGCACATGGCTTAAAGGTTAGGGGAACTGGACCCCACATGGCTGACTACATGGCAGTTAGAGTCCTGGATCTGGTGACCTGAAAAACATGTGGGACACATGTGCATGCATGTCCAAAACCCCAAGAGAAGGGAGAAATGGAGGAGAAGGGGTTGTAGTGAGACCACTCCCCATGGAGGTGCTTTCTGCCTCTCCCTGTCTCTGTCTCTCTCTGGCAAGTGCACATGCCCTCGGCAAATTAAAAAAGAAAATCTGGGGGGCCAGCAAGTGGTGTAGCGGTTGAGGCACTGGACTCCCACACGGCTGACCCTGGTTCGAGTTCTGGGCTTGGAGGCTTGAAACTCACGTCAGGTACATGTGCACGTGTGTCCAAAATCCCGAGATGGAGAAGGGATTGCAACGTGGCCATCTTCCCTGGGTGGTGATTTCTCCCTCTCCTTCTCACTGTCTCTGTCTCTTCAGTGAGTACGTGAACCCTATAGCAAAAATGTCTCTTAAAAAAAAATGAGAGGACCAGCAGGTGGTATGGTGGTGAAGGCGCTGGACTTCCATGTGGCCAACTGCGGTTAGGAGTCCCAAACGTGGCACCTTGCTTTCTCACTTTCTCTCCCTTTTTCTGTCTCTGGTAGGTGTGTATGTCCTATAGTAAATTGAAAGATAATAATAATGATAAATAAAACGAACTCTTCAATGTTTTTATGTGTAGTATACATTTTTAAAGGACGCACTGTATTCGAATACTGTTCTAAGCACCTTATACATACAAAAACATCGAATTCTCACAAAACTCTATGAGAAACTAAGTTATCTGCATTTTTGGATGAAGAGGCTCAGAGAGGTTTGAATACCTGCCTGAGACCATGCAGCTGGGAAGGAGCGGAGCGGGACTCCGAACCCGGGCAGCTGGCTGTGGGGTCTGCCCACTGCACTGTGGCTCCCCCCCTCCATGCCCTTTAGTGGGGAGGGGCTCAGGGAGCCGTCTGGCTGAAAGGGGGAGCTGGAGCCTCCTGTGCCGGAGCAGTGCTTTACACACCCTGGCAAACGGCCTCGCCTCTGTCGGAGCCGGCTCTGTGACAGCCACTGGCCACCCATGGTTACCGGGGAGTCCAGACTGGGATGTGCCTATGTGTGAACACACCCCAGGCTTTGAGACTGAGTCTGACAAAGAGAACAGGAGATAGATCTTCACTGGGACCAGCAGATGGCGTAATGGTTACATCCCTCCACTCCCACGTAGGCGACCACGGTTTGAGTCCCAGACCTGGTGGCTTAAAACTCATACCGGGCATGTGAGTGTGCGTGCCCAAAATCTCGAGAGGAGAATGAGGAGAAGGGATTGCGGTGTGGCCATCCCCCCTGGGGGATGCGGTTTAGGGAGGTGCCTCAGTAATAACAGAAATTCACTTTCTGGCCAGCCAGTAAATGAAACTTGAGTTGGATTGAACTTGATTTAGAAAAATAATGTCAATTTTTGCTAAGGATTGTGTTTGAGTAAAATCCACGGCCATTACTGTGACCTTTGACCTTTAAGACGAGACTTCAGCTATTTCAGGGGATTTTATTTATTTATCTTTTTCTATGTGTTTACTTATTTTTTCCTAAAATTTGCTATGGGGTGTGTGTACTCGCAGGAGAAAGAGAGAAATCCTCCCCAGCAGGAGGGGGAGTGGCCACTCCACAATCGCCCCTCCTCCATCCTCCTCTTGAGATTTGGGGCACACATGCACACGTGCCTGGGCTGTTTTCCAAGTCACCAGGTCTGGGCCACGTACCACACCGTTGGCCTTGTCGGACCCTGCTGCTGCTTAACCACCACACCACCTGGTTGGTCCTCTTTTATTTTATTTTATTATTTTTTTTAAGACAGAGTCTTAGGCCAGCAGGTGGTGTGGTGGCTAAGGCACTGGACTCTCACATGGCTGACTACGGTCTGAGTTGCAGACATAGCAGCTTGTTTTCTCACTTTCCGTCTCTCTCTCTGTCTCTCTCTGGTGAGTGTGCATGCCCTGTAGCAAGTTAAAAATAATCATAATGATAAATAAAATAAATCTTAAAAGAGAAATGTGGGTCTTGCCTTGAGGCCCTTCTGCCTCAGCCTCCCTAGTGACTGGACCACAGGCAGCACCGCCACGCCTGGCTCTTACAGTCAGGGTCTGCCTGTGTTGCCCGGGATGGCCTCGAGCTCACAGTCTTCCTGCTTCAGCCTCCCCCACCCACGGGACTGCGGGCACATGCTGCCACCCCGCCCTGACTCCTCGGCCTCCCAGCGTCCCAGCCTGGGGACCACAGTATCTTTCCAGTATAGCACCTTGCCTGGGTCTCTTTTAGGAAATCTTAAAGTAAACTTACTTCTGGACACAAACTCTCTGACGGAAGTCATGGGACGGCCTCTATGTTTGCCTATTTAACAATGGGACAATTTAGATGTTAGAACCTGTAAGTTTTTGAGGTCCTTGAAGGCTTCTGGGTGAATTCTGAATATCTTGTTGCCTTTTAAAGACAGTCTCTCCAGGTGCCGGCAGTTATGGAAATCAGACAGCCCAATTCGCAGTATCTCGTTGAATGACAGATCCAGACTCCGCAATGACTTCAGATGCCATAGCCCTGTGACAATCAAAGAGTAAATTAAGATCCAGACTGATGACAGTCACTGCAGCGTGTCTGGAAGGGTGAGAAGTTGGGCACCACATCCATGGTGTTTATTATTATTATTTTGAGAGACTTTTGCTATAGGGCATGTGCACTTGCAGGAGAGACAGAGAGACAGAAAGCGAGAAATCATCCCCCAGGGGGATGGCCACACCGCAATCCTTTCTCCTCCTGGGATTTTGGGCATGCACACATAGGTGGCCGGTGTGAGCTTTAAGCCACCAGTCTGGGACTCAAACTGCAGTTGACTATGCAGGAGTCCAGTGATGTAACCATTATGCCATCTGCTGGTCCCTATTTGTTTTTTTAATAGAGAAATTTTTGCTGTAGGGCACGTGTGCTCATAAGAGAGACAGAGAGACAGAAAGACAGAAAGTAAGCAATCACCCCCTAGGGAGGATGACCCTGCAGCAATCCCTTCTCCTCCCTTCTCCTCTCGGGATTTTGGGCTCGCACACATCTGCGTCTGGCATGAGTTACAAGACACTGGGTCAGGGACTTGAACCATGGTTGACTATGTGGGAGTCCAGCGATGCAACCATTATGCCACCTGCTAGTCCCAACATTCACGGTTCTTAATTGAGAAATTTTGAGTATGGCACATTAATATAGAAGGTCCCTAATTCTCAACGGTTCAATTTGCAATGTTTTCATTTTGTGATGGTGTGAAAGCACTATGCACTTACTCCTGACCAAATTTCAAATTTCAATTTTTGACCTTGTGCTAGCCATATATGCATAGTCTTCAAAATGTTCATAGAAAATACATGTTATAAAACAACTCTGTAGAAGTTTCCATTTGTGTGTACCAAAATAAACTCACACCATTTTTTTTTTTTTGAGAGATTTTCACTATAGGGCGCGTGCGCTCGCCAGACAGACAGAGAGAGACATTAGAGACAGAAAGCGAGAAATCACCCCCCCAGGGGGGATGGTCACGCCGCAATCCCTTCTCCTCCATTCTCCTCTCGGGATCCTGGGCACGCACGCACACGCGCCCGGCGAAACTCACACCATTTTTAAAAGAGGTTTTTGCAATAGGGCACATGCACTAGCCAGAGAGAGAGAGAGACAGAGACGATGAGAGGAAAAATGAGAAATCACCTCCTGCGAGGTGGCCACACTGCAATCCCTTCTCCATTCTCCCCCTGGAATCTTGGGCACGCACATGCACCTGGGGTGATTTATCAAGCTCCCAGGTTCAGGACTGGACGGTGGTCAGCCATATCAGGGTCCAGTAACGTGACCACTGCGCCACCTGCTGGCCACACAGACTCACACTTCAATTCCGTTTTCCACCACGCTTTCTGGGGTCCCCTCTTACAGAGTAATACTCTGGCCTGATGCTGGGCAGCCACAGGGTCCCGAGGACAAACCACTCACACTCCACCACGCACTGTGTTGCCAGGGGGCTTGGGATGTGGTGTTTGGTAGGAGGCGAGGTACACTAAACGCTTATTTCCAGCTTATGATAGTTTCAACTTACGCTGGGTCGGCGTGAGTTGGGGAGAGTCTTACTATGAAATATGCAGTCTTGGGGCAGATAACCACGTGAACTGACTGCGAAGGCAAAGGTAAGCTGCATAACAGGGTAGAATAGAATCCCGATGTTCTGGAAAATAAAGAACCATACAAAACACATGTATTTGGAGTGAGCAGGAAAAGGGCCTGGGAGGAAATGAGCCAAACTCTCAAGGGCAGCTATACTTCGCAGAAGGGTGGAGGGAGCTAAGTGGGTGGGATAAAGAAGGGAACTTTCTTTTTATTTTGTATATATTCAGATTCTTTGAACAAGCATGTCCTACTTTAAAAACGAAAGCACTGGGCCAGCCGGAGGTGTGGTGGCTGGGGCAGCGGAGCCCACATGGCCGGCTCCACGCTGAGACTCCCAGACCTGGCCACACGAAAGAAACACGGGCATGTGTGTGCGTGTCCAAAATCCCGAGGGGAGAATGAGGAGAGGGGACTGCAGTGTGGCCGTGCCCCTGGGGGGTGCTTTCTCTCTCTGTTTTTCTCTCTCTTGTTGGCAAGTGCATGTGCCCAATAATAACATTTAAAAACAGAAAGCATCAATTAAAAATGTAACCTTGATTAAAAGAGCTGTTAAATACATGTTTATTTGACTGGGTTATGGATAAAATTGAATCATCTTATGATACTAGAGGGAAAAAATCATTTTGATGTTCTTTTCATAAAAGAATTCTTCCAGTTCTGGGACCAGCAAATGGCTTAATGGTTATGCCGTTAGATTCACATGTAGTTAACGGTGGTTTGAGTCCCGGACCTGGTGGCTTAAAACTCAGACCGGGCGCATGTGTGTTCATGCCCAAAATCCCAAGAGGAGAGTGGAGGAGAAAATATTGCTGCATGGCCATCCCCCCAGGGGTGATTTCTCGCTTTCTGTCTCTCTGTCTGTCTCTGTCTCTCTGGCGAGCACACGTGCCCTATAGCAAAAATCTCTCAAAAAATGATAAAAGGAGTTCTTTCAGTTTTAAGATTCTCTTTTACTTAGTAGCCATACCCTACTGATTGTTGATACTCTGCCTGGTTTCTAGGCATTCTTGTATCCCCCCCAGGGGGGATGGCCACGCCACAATCCCTTCTCCTCCATTCTCCTCTCGGGGTCTTGGGCACGCATGCACACACGCCCGGCATGAGTTTTAAGCCACCTGGTCCAGGACGCGAACTGTAGTCGACTTTGTGGGAGTCCAACGACATAGCCATTACGCTAACTGCTGGTCCCAGGCATCCTTGTATTTTTCAAAGGCAATAAATTATAGCTAGATTTTGTTTGCTGGTAAAATAACCAAATTCAATGTCAATCTCTGCCTTTGTATTGTACTTCATTCCAGAGAGCAACCAGGAGGTCCATTTGGCATTGAAAATAGTTTCAGAATGAAGCCAGTTACAGCTGTCTCCCCAGTTCGACTTCCCATGTGGGTCTCATGGGTCTCGTGGGTCTCGCAAAGAAGCAAGGAAGCACCTGCATTTTTATCCCCTTCTGCTCTGTTCTCCCATGTGGACTGTAACAGCTACTCTGTAACAAATCGGGTTGCTTCCCTTCCTGAAGGGCTTATTCTTTGCAGAGTCCTTACAGTACAGCTTATCGTGCAAAGAGACGATGACTTAATTGGAGTGGCTGCACCGTCTGCATTGTCATATGTTCATTTCAGTTGAACAGACTAGCAAGAGACCATCCAGACGACGAATCGATTGAAACAGTCCGAGCACGTCAGCTGGTGCTGAGGGTGAGTGTAGCATAGAACCCATATCCTTTAAGAGTTTAATCCAGGGGCTGGCAGGTGGTGTGGTGGTTAAGGTGCAGGATTCCCACGTGGTCAACCCTGGTTGCAGTCTCAGACCTGGCAGCTCGCTTTCTCAGTTTCCGGCTCTCTATTTCTCTCTAGTGAGTGCACATGCCCCATAGCACTTTAAAAAATAAATAAAATTGGGCAGTTAGCGTAATGGCTATGTCGCTGCACTCCCACGTAGTCGACCGCGGTTTGAGTCCTGGACCTGATGGCTTAAACTCACGCAGGGTGCGTGTGCGTGCGTGCCCAAGATCCCGAGAGGAGAATGGAGGAGAAGGGAGTGCGGCGTGGCCATTCCCCCTGGGGGGGGGGATTTCTTCCTTTCTGTCTCTCTGTCTCTGTCTTTCTGGTGAGCACACATGCCCTATAGCAAAAACCTCTCGATAAATAAATAAATAAAATAGATAATTCTTGGGGGAAAAAGAGTTTAACCAGTTTGAATGATACGACATACACACCAGAAAAGGTTACTACTTTACAAAGTAGTTCATCACCAGCACCGTCCACTGTAACATCAACTGTTATTTGTCTGTCTGCCTGTCCACCGGATGATGACGACCCTTCGGGACAACACTCACGTCCTTGGGTTCATGCAATGCCGGAATATATAGCCAATACAATCCAGTCAAGAGGCCCCAGTGCACAGAGATGCAAAATCCCTGAGCAGAGATGAGAGGTAGCAGGACGCTCCCAGAGCTGCCCCTCCTGGGAGGCGCTGTGTTCACGTCTGGAGACCCCCTGAGCACACCAGGCGAGCACGTGCCCACATGGGTCTGGCTGGAGCTGGGTGTGGATCACAGTCTGCAGACCCTGTCGGGGGCACCATCTCCCTGTCGCTGTCTCTCTCCTTCATGGGAGGAAGGAGTAAATACACTGAAAAGAGGAAAGATTCAATACCACAATTTGCATTTCTGGCTTGTCTTGAAAAGTTGGAAGTTCCAGCTGGCAGAGAGGACACCTGGCTGGAGCTGAGTGAGGACGCCTTCTCCGGATGGGGTGAGCTTATGGAAGACTGATTTTTTTGTACTCCTGTTTCCGTAAAAAATAGGAAAACAAAGGATAGGCCAAGACTAAATTTTTTTTTTTAAGGGAGAGAGTCAAGGCTTATATTCAGCCAGCATGCGCTAGGAAGAAATGCGTCCACACCGGTTCATAAACGGTCATAGCCGTGAGACTGGTGGAGGCCTCGTGTGCTGCCCACGGCCCGGGCGGGCCCTCTGTCTCCCTGCCCCTGCCAACCCAGCAGGCCCACTCCAGACCACAACCAGGAAGTATCCAACCGGGGGGCCTGGCTGAAGGCTGGTTGTTAATGCTTTTGAATATAATTCCTGGGAAAAACACATTTCTTTGTGAGTTTTACTACATAAACGTTTAAGTCCATGAGAAAAAAAGATGACATTCAGCATCAATTGAAGAAGCTACAGTGGGGCCGGCAGGTGGCGTGGTGGTTGAGGTGCTGGACTCCCACATGGCTGACTGCAGTCTGAGTCTCGGACCTGGAGGTTTGCTTGCTCACTTTCCTTCTCTCTCTTTGTCTCTCTATGGTTAAATTAAAATATAATAATAAATGAATTAAATTAATAAAATAATTCTTTAAAAAAAGTATAGTTTCCTTAACACTCTTTTAAAATAAAAAGAATTATT